GTTGAGAACCACTGCCTTAAAGGTAAGGGTGGCAAGACTTTGACATGTCATCAGGACAGAACGATTGATAGCGCAGAACATTATGTTTGGCAAAGTAGAAGTTCAGTGACGCTGAGGAACAGCCTCAGTAGATGGATGGATTGACACGGTGACCTCAACAGTGGGCACCCACACAGCAAAGATCAGGGAGACACTGCAGAACCTCGCAGTGTCTCCGTCTGCTAGTACACTAGGTCATCCTGAATCCGTGAGGACTCACGGCAGATGACGACAGCAGCCAAATCCAACTGAGGAGCTATCATTCTCCTGCAAGTCAAACGGACCCATCCTCATTTTACAAAAGATGTGAACGCGTGCATGGGGTGGGATGGGGTAGGGGGCGGAGGGGAGACGGTTTCTGCTTGCTTCGGAGGAGGAAACTGGTTAATCAGTGTTTCCAAGACTCCTAGAGGCTTGAGGTATTTTACCAGTCTTTCTGGCAAAGTCCTTTTGCCACCACTGATCTGTCAGTTTATCACACTGTGGTAGCTTGTGTTGCTGTGATGCTGGAAACTATGTCACTGGTATTTCAAATGCCAGCTAGGTCACCCAAAGTGACCAGGTTTCAGCAGAGCTTCCAGATGAAGAAGGAATCGGCTGTCCACTTCGGAGGAAGTAGCCGCAGAAAGTCTTCTGGACCGAATTGGAACATTGTCAGACACTGCAAACCTCATGAAAACAGTGTTGTCAGAGCCAGTGCCAGAGGGTGAGCTCCTCACATGGAAGGCGTTCAAAGTACGACGGCCACAGTGGCTCCGGCGACAGACTCAAACAAGAGAACAATTTGCAAGATTGACCCAGGACCCGGCAGTGTTTCGTTCTTTTGTACACAGGGTCACTATGAGTCGGAACCAACCTAACAGAACCTAACATTTGCGAGGTAGACCGATCTACATTTAACATATCTGAATGATCCCTCTCTTCTTGGGGAGAAAGTATAAGTCCGTGTGCCCAGATGCAAACCCTGAGCTCCATGAAGTATAAAGCAAAGAGCCGGCAACGTCTGACGCACATTTTCTTCTGCTCAGGATTAGCCTCAGCCTCAGTAATTCACAGGCCTTCACAGTGACCAGATTAGTGGCATGGGCGCTTTGCCAGCTTCTGGGGAGATCTCAGACACATTCGACAGTAATGGCCCTGACCTTCATGCAGAATTGGCATGAAGGTTGACAGGGAGGACATTCTAGGCCCTCAACAAATTACTATTTCTATCAAGGCTAACTTGCCTGAAGTCCTGTGTATCCGGAAATTTGGATCTGTTATGCATCCTATTTAGTAGAGCTGTCTCCCCCAGTGGCCTTTTTGACCCCTTGTATTTAGATGCGTTGTGGTGCCAGCCCTAGCTCAAAAGGACTCTGACAGGACTGCCCCTCACAGCGCTGCTAAAGAGGCAGGCTAAGGGGCTAACTGTGCCATGGACGATTCTAGAGTAGACACATCATCTGAAGGGAAAACCTACAGGCTAAGAAGTCACGTGTGACCTGATTAAAAGGCGAGTTGAGCTAGTAAGGCTCCTGTCTGGGAATCTGGCACTGGGGGAGGGAGAAACCAGGCTGGCTGGCAGCACAGGCATCTGGAATGCGTCTGCTCCTATTAACGGTGGAGCATCCTCAAATTGGCTGACAGATTCCTGCTGCTGAGGTCCTCCAGGGCTGCCTCTGCTTCAGAACACCTCTCCCAAGAAGCCTGACGGTTCAAAGTTTGTGCTCATGGACACGGAAACATGTCTTCTAAAATAATGAACACAAATACTTGCTCTTTTTTTTTTAGTCTGCTCCTGTTTTCTCCAATGAAAAAGAGGTACTCACTAACACATCTATCTTTGGGAAAAACTTGCAGGCAAAGAACCATGTATAAACTTTCTGGGCATTTCTATGGCCTGGCATTGCTGTAACAGTTCATTATAGAGTCTGGCGGATGTCCATGGTTTCTACTCACCTTCCATGTCTTCTTCTCTATAATAGAAAATTAAAAGTCCCATGACAGCATTCTGGCCAATAATATGTAAGCGAATGTTTTGGGGGCAAATAGGCTGGGTCTGCCCCTCCTGCCTTGGATGAAAATCTTATCCTTGGAGCTGTGAATGAGCTTGTAACCATAATGGAAAAGCAGTGAAATACAGAGTTGCCCTGAACATTTGAGGTGCTAAATCAACATTAGAAGCTACATACTTTCAGTCTTCTTGTTATGTGAGCAAAATGCTCACATTTTGCTAAACTGCTGTTAGAATTTTCTATTACTTGGAAACAAAACCTTTTCTAAATAATATACCCTAAAAAGGTACCAGAACTTAATATTGTTTCCTGTGTTGCGAGAATGATGACAATTTCTCTTTCCATCAAATACATGGCCAACTTATTTTTAAATGAATTTTTCTAAAACTCACTGAGTGGTATAAGCTCTATAGGCAATTAAAATCTAACAAGGGGATACAGCAAATACACAAATAAAGAAACTACAAGGCAGAAAACATAAGTGTTGTAATAGAAGGGAAAGACTTCCAGTTGGGGAAGTGAGATATCAGGAAGTTTCCCCAGGAGAAGCATGTGAGTTAAAAGTGGAAAAAAGAGAAATCTGTTTGGAGATGAGCAAGAAGTGTATTCTAGTAGAAGGAACATCAACCAACCAAACCCACTGTCCTCTAGTTTATTCTGACTCATGGCAACCCTCACTACAGCTGCCTCGTCTTTGTAAATCTTCACGGAAGATTTACTGCCTCGTCTTTCTCCTGAAGAATGACCGGTGGGCTTGAACCACTGACCTTGCAGTTAGCAGCCTAATGCTTACCTGGCAGTGCCACCAGGGTTCCTTCAGTAGAAGAACTAGTTTAGCTAAATATGGGGAAGTGAAGGTCAAATACAGGAAGCAGCCAGTTCATTTTGGCTGGTGCAGGAAAACAAAGGTCAGATCGGCAAATCTGGCCAAATGGCAATAAGCCTTGAGCACCAGGTAAAGACATCTGGGTTCTATTCTATAGGCTGTGGGTGTCACGAAAGGTTTTTAACCAGAAGGAGGGCGATTCTTCAGGAAAATTCACTAGATAGCAATGCGCATGCTGGAGAAGCCAGCAGGAGCTGGGCAGGTGTCTAGAAAGGAGGTGATGAGGGTTTGAACCAGGAGAGTCCAGGTGAGAATGCCGGGGGAAGATGAAACAGGCTGAGCGACATCGCAGAACAAGTACTGCAACTTGGCAGCTGTCTGGGTATGGGGTGTATGTCAGGGGAGGAATAATGTGGAAATATTTTATTCTACCAAGTATAGAAAAAATCCTCATGCAGTACCTCTGGAGCTGAAGACAGGAATGGTTTGATATAGATGTTGGAATCATGCACCTTCAAGTCATGGTCCCCAAGTCCTCTGGTCACGCCAATAGTTGCCATTACGCGGGCCTACGAACATAAACAGAAGGTCATCAGAAACAATTCTCCACACCCTGAGAAAAAAATTCCTGTCACAATATAGTTCCCAAGGGCTACATTCTCCAATTGCATGCCCTTCTCTGCTAACGTAGGTGGGTAGCTGGAGCCCAAGGAGGGGAGTAATATTTCTACCAATTATTCTAAGCTTCATGGGCTTCTGTTGTCTCCCTCTTTCTCCCTCTCCAGCTTTATGTCTCTCCTTTGTTTTGTTTTGTTTGTTTATAATTTTTGAGATTGGAAGGGAGGATGTCCAATAAACTAAGGTCAATACATGAGCTACTGGAAGCAGTTCAAGTTCACTCATATAACCTCCATCCATCCATCTCTCCCAGTAGTTACTGAGCACCATCAATGTCTCTAGTTAGGTGATGGCACAAGAAAAAGATGCAGAAGTCAGAAACAGCTCCTCCCTCCCCAAATTCACCTATATTACACTCTATGGCTGGAGACTAGCAACCATTGGCTCTCTCTGTCACCTAGAGACTAGCAACCATTGGCTCTCTCTGTCACCTATCCTGCTAACATCCCCACAAATTCCTTCTGGGACAAAATGCCGCTAGCACTGGGGCTGACACTTCGTCAGCTCTGCACCTTTCTGAATGGCTTCCCAACTGTTGTAATGAAGGAATTGTGCAGTCCATAGGATTATCTTCTGGAGTATTTGGATTTGAGAAGGGGATTCTTATGAGTCGATTTACCCACACATTCCTTGAGTACCTATTATGAACAGACGCCATACACAAATGTATAGGGTCCTGTCCTTACCATAAAGGGACTTGTTCAGGGAGGTAAGAGGCACATGCGTATCTAACTAATGGCATAAGAATATGGTCAAGTACTGAAAGACACAACAGGTCATGTGATTTCAGAGGAGATAAAAACTTTACTGAGGCTTCCTGGAGAAGGCAGCATTAAACTTCGTGCAGGATGGACACAGAGCAATGGAAAGAAAGACACTCTGGATGGAATGAAGCCCAATGGTCTAACTCGTAGATCATCAATCATATATCCAGTGTAGAGTCAAAGTTCAAAGATCTCGGTTTGAACCCTCACTCTACCTATTGCTTGGGTATAAGAGTACTCAAGGGCTATGCAATCAAAGTATCTCGGAGGACCGAGGATGACATAAAAGCTAAAATAAAAAAAACTTGATCTAATAATTATCATCTTCATCCCATTCTCCCCAAAGGGTTGTGAGTTTTGGAGCTGGTTCCAGGTGGCAAGGGTTTGCATTAAAGAAAGCCATGCTGCATTTTTAGAAGGCAAGGGCCAAGGGAGCCTGGTAAAATGCAGACAGATGAGGTACACTCTGGGAGCCTCTGGCCAGGCAGGCTGCAGACAAGCCCCTGCTGGCTAGGAGGCTGGGTGGGCTCTCTCTGATTACAGACGTGTTCCACTCGAAGTGGAGACATCCGGGGGCCATGGGGGCCCTTCTGGATTCTGCCGTGCAATGGCAGTTTCTCTAGCTGGGAAAATCACCGGCCTCTAATTTAATCCAAGGAAATGGGGTGTTCCTACAAGGTATCAAACTGACTTTACAAAGTGTACAAGCATTAAAATTATTTGGTGAGGGGGTGGGTACCCTAGAACTCCTGGGTAGGTGTCTGCTGAGAGGCAAAAGGAAACACCTGCACATGCGCTAGACAGGACCGATGCTCTTCCTCACGTTGCAGTTTCAAAGCTCTCTCAAAACGTCACGTCACGGACTCATCAGACAGGCACAGTGTGCTACTCTGGTCCTGGGCAAGGCCAACCGGAGCGACAGTGGCCTTCGAGAACTCGCGGGTTGCCCATCACAGAGCTGTCAAGGCTTAATGAAGCGAGATGCTTGCGGAACGGATTCTCTGGTGAACTAAACTTTCTGCCCACCTGGAGAAGCCTCTGTTCTTTTAAATCTCATTGCTGGTAATCTTGTAAGAATCTATCGGTGCATTTTCCTGTTGGACTCAGGGGAGTATACGGAACATTCATGGAATCGCTTATTCAGTACCTCTGCATTTATTAGAGGCCTGCTGGCTCTCATATGCCACTGGTCGGCTGGATGGGCAGCAGGGATTAAACGTAACTGATGTTGCTGCACTGACTGAACCCTCTGGATTTGGCTCCTTCGTACGCAGACTCTCGGCCCCACTAAGTACCACAGCTGTCGGTGTGGGGATGGGGCTGAAGGGTACACAGTAGTGGCAGCCTCTGTTCTCGAAGACACACACGTTCCCATTGGGAACAGTGCTCTTCATTGTTGTGATTCTCAACCAGAGAGGGGGAGGCAGAAGGTGACCACCTCCAGGAAAGGGGAAAGCTAATTGACAATTTGATTCCCACGTGGTTCAGATAGATGTACTGTATTTCATTTCCTTCCACTGCAATCACTCCTGGGCTACACTGAGCCCAAACCTAATCCTGGAGGCAAGTGCCCTCGGTGCATTAAACACACACACACACACACACACACACACACACACACACACTCATATGAACACATTCACTAAAACACACACGATGAAGTAAACACATTCACTAACACACACAC